AAATAAATAAATAAATAAATAAATAAAAATATAAGATGCAAGGAAAGTTTGGGGACTAGAAATCCATAATGAACTCCCTCCTCTTTGGCTATCAGTAAGACTTGAAAGAAGGTAAAATATGAGGACTCAGATGCTCCTATTGGTGACTCAATGTGATTTGTTCAAACTTTAGACAAAATTGTTTTAATATTTCCCATATTCTATGGCTTAAGCTAAATTATGGCTTCAGTTTTGGACTATAGGAATTTTAGAGACAAAGATATTTTATATAGAATTTGCCACACTTTGGGCATATTTTTGAAAATTAATTAAAATGGGACACCAAATTTTAATATTTAAATGCAAACATCAGTATCCATTGCCATCGATAATGTTTGGCTCTTTCATACTACAAATACCTTTCAAAATAGACAAAATTACTTCATAAGTATCTACATATATCAGAAAGGTAGAAGGACAGACCTAGAAAAATAAGAGTGATATATATATTCCAGAGTAAGTAGGTTAAAGAAGACCAAACCAGAAACAAAGGAAGTGTGATATAGGAAACTGTTATACATTTCATGGTTAAAAATAAAAAGTATAATTATCTCTCTATTCTCAATGGAATCATAGTTCTCTGATTCTAAGAAACCTGATTTTTTTACACTTCAATAATTCTGAAATCAGGAGGCACCTTAGATTCTGTAAGTATTTTTAGTGCTTCACTTCCCCCCAAAACCTGATATTAAATAAACTGCAGGTCTTTAAATGAATAGAATCTTAAATTGGAGGGGAAAAAAATAGTTTAGAAAACAAAATGTATGTTTCTTTGTAAGATGTTTTTGTCTTTACATGTGAATATGGATTTAACGTTCTTGCAATGACTTGTAATAAACGTAAGTGAGGTTATCCAGTGAATATCAGAATCAAGAGAAGCTGCAAAACTCCATTTTCTCCAAATAAACCCATGGGTTGCTCAGTTCTGCCCTCAAACCCCCAGCATGCTGGAAACAGGCAAAATCTAAGCTCTAAGCAGAGCCATCCTTTCTCATGTCATCTTGAACAGTTGTTACTAAGTCCTCACAGTACACACAGACTTGTGACCACTAATAAAATCTGAATTACAGTCTCTAAAATACAAACCAATATGGAAGAAAAGAAAAGAGAACCTACAATCAATTGTGAAAGCTCCAGTTTTAAAGAGAAACAGACATTTTCATACATGGCTGGTGGTGGTGCAGAATGGAACCCAATGGAAGAAAACTGGGCAGTAACTGGCAAAACTGTATTTACCCTCTGACCCAGAAATTCAACTTCTAGGATCTGTCCTAAATATAAATATGTGTAGTAACATGTGCATGGCAACATTATTTGCAAGAACAAAAGAATCAAATGTGTATCATCAGGAGACTGTTGATTACACTGCAGCATCCACATGCAATGAATAACATAATATACATATAGAGTAACCTCCCAGACAGAGTAAGAGAAAAAGATACAGGATGGTAGATATAGTATGCAAATTTTATGTACAAAAAGAGATAGTATATGCCTCCGCAAACATACTTGCCTATATTTGTAGAAGGAAACCATGCAGGAAATGCAAACATAAAAGAAGGGAAAAGAGAGGGTAGAAATAGAAATGAGAGCAAGACTTATCTGGTCGTCATTTGTTACAGTTTTGACTTTGGAATTAGGTAGATGATTTTTATTTTAAAAAAAAACTAAAAAAATGAAGCAATTCCCAAAATTAAAAACAAACAGAAACAAATGAACCTAACTGAATCTAAACATGGTGATGTCACCCCACACAAATTATAACTACTCCAAGAGACCTTAGAGCCCAGAATTTTGACTATACATAGTGGGTGGAACATAGGCTAGGGACTTTTAGTAGCAACATTGCTTATTTTTTAAGATAGTTTTAAGTAGTTTCTTCTGACATTCCCCCCACACACATAAAAGAACTGCATGGAACCCCAAGGCTCCCTCATTCTCCGCTTGCGCTAGAGGCCACCACGCTGCTCTGTTCTGATAAGCAGCTCATCTTCCTCTTCCTTTCAGAAAAGGAAACGCATGCACATTCTGCAAGTATTACCTGGACCTGCAGGCAGAGAGCTGAGCTTATTAGCACTGGGCTGTGACAAGCACTGCAAGGGAAGCAAGAAAAAATGATGTTTGCCTTTGTATTGTCTTCCTCTCTTCTAGATATGGCAAGTAGGCCTGGCAGTGACGAAGCCTGAAATCCTGTTAAGGAACATGATAAACTTGAGAAACATCTAATAATAGCTAACACTTACTGTGTGCTAACCATAGGCCATCGAGGTACTACCTTCTTAGCCAGTGGAGGGAAATTAATCACATCTGAGTGTCAGAATTCATGAAACTGATCGGTTTTTAATCTCGTCACCAAACTAGGTAGGCATCATAAAATGGGAAAGTTATAGGGTTATTGTTAAAGAAACAGAACTCAGACCAGAACCGGTTAACTAATCCGGAATCGGTTAACTAATTCTAAATATGAGATGGAACGGTCTCAATCGGGAGCTAAAATAGAAGAGAATCTACAGTCGATGGATGCACAGAAGAAGAATCCCAGATTTGGAATCAGAATATTTCAATGCAAGCCCCTGACTGTGTGATCTCAAGCAGAGCATGTAACCTCTCGGGTCAGGGTCCACACAATGAAAAGGCAGATAAAACCAGATCGAGGCTAACTAGAGTTAACAAGGAGGCAGGTCATGCTGTAAAATTGTTCAAGTTATTTTAAAAATTAAGATTTTATTGACATTAATTCCCAGGCATCAATGATAAGAATGGGGAAAAGGAATAGAAAAGACAAAGAATGATCCGGAAAGAGAAAGATGAAGTAAAATAAGTTTTTATTCTGTCCATTGTCAGCTGAGCCCTCTGAGTAACTGTCTCTATGTCTTAGTTCTCCCTTGTCTTCTTTGCATCAGATTAATCGCTGTAAAAAATATTTTAGGGACATCTGGGTGGCTCAGTCAGTTAAGCATCCGACTCTTGATTTCAGCTCAGGTCATGATCTCAGGGTCCTGGGATTGAGGCCTGCTACAGGCTCCATAGCACAGATCTGCTTGGGATTCTCTCTCTCCCTCTGCTCCTGGCCCCACTCATGCTATAAATAAATAAATAAATAAAATCTTTAAAAAAAAAATTAAAAAAAAAAAAGAAATACCTCATTTCTTGCTTTTTTGACATATTCCCACTGCTCCCTTTCTCCTCCAACTATTCCTTGCTTGCTTTCACGAGGTCCTCTTCTTTTGCCTGTTTCTTAAATGTCAGTGTTCCCTGGACTTCCAAACACAAACCTCATCTCTTCTCATTCCAATACTCTCTGTAGGGGACCATATGCACTATCATGGCTGCATGTATCATCATGTACACACATATTCAAAATCTATACCTCAAACTGGGATTTAATCCTGAGCGCCTGTCCCAGAGATCCAGCTGCCTAGCATATCTGTTCATATGAGTATTCCATAGGTTCCCTGTTACAGATTGATATTTGTTTCCGTGAACCCCAAATTCCTATTCTGAAGCCCTAAGCCCCAGTGTAATGGTATTTGGAGGTGGGACCTTTGGGAAGTAATTAGTTTTAAATGAAGTCATGAGGATGAATCCCCCATGATCAGATCAGTGCCCTTATAAAAAGAGGAAAAGACCAGAGCCCCCCAACTCTCTCTCTCCTCTAAGTAAGGTTATGGCAAAAAAGCAGCCATCTGCATTCCAGAAAGAAAGCCCTCACCAGACAGAGTTTGTCAGCACCCTGATCTTAGACTTCCCAGTCTCCAGAACCATGAGGAATCAATGACTGTTGTTTAAGCTACCAGTTGGAGCTATTTTGTCATAGCTGTACAAACTAAGACACTCCCAAAGAGTGACAAATCAACACCAAACTTATTATCTTATTCAACAAAATGCCTGCTCCTCTTTCTCCTGTGTTCTCTACTTCATTGAATGATACCACTTTCAATCCTGTTGTCAAGAAAGGAAGTGGGGGGTGGGGTGGGAGGGATGGGGTGACTGGGTGATAGACACTGGGGAGGGTATGTGCTCTGGTAAGCGCTGTGAATTGTGCAAGACTGTTG